GACTAAGATTTCTGCCTTAGTGCGGCAAGCCGGTATGATTTTAAGATTCGAGAGTAAAGAAGGCATCATTCCACCAAGGACTCCAATAATCAAAACAACCATCTTGACAGAGTGGTCTGCGGAGTTCGAAGAGAAAGTCTCAATATTCTATCCGTTTTTCCTCCTCTTTTCGGATGATATTCGTCTCGCCAGGAGCTGAAAACTCCACGACAAATATCGTCTTACCCTGGTGGTCGAGATGGCCTACATCAGGCTTATTAGCTTGTATAAGCCTGAGGGTCGAGAACGAATAGTTCCAATAAATTCGGCACTTTTTGTTCCCCACAACAGATTCAATATCTGGAGCGTAATACAACACCGGTGTCTCGTCAATACGAGACACCGGTAAGAGTGCCTTAGTTGGTAATATAGCACTCTTAAAGCCGAGTTATGTCGATGGATATAGGCCGAGACTGCATATGCTGGACATGCTGATAGCAAGTGCATTAGAGTCTCGGGCGCCTCGCGGCAGGCACTGCACCTTGTGTCAGGAACACCTATACCCATCACGCGACTGCAGTATACTAAGGTGTTGAAGACACCATCCTGGCAAGCCATGATGAACCTCTCAGTTTCCGACTTCAGCTCACTTGACCTGAGGAAAGCGAAAGTCAGGCGCTTTGATAAGCCAAGGTATTCATAGTTATTGAAGAAGACCCCAAGCATTGGCTTATCCTTGTGTTTCCGCAAAAGTGAGGTGATCTCTGCGGCTTTTATATGAGCTTTTTGCTGGACGGGTTCCAACTCGGTGACAGAGTTGTGGTCACCTCGTTCAGTGTCAAAAACTAAACCGAGTTCATCAGCTGCTCGGGCAGCTGCCTTGAAGAGAAACGCTCCAATTCTTGCTCTCTCATGGTCACGGACCATGTAGAGAAGGAGATCCGAACTCCTGACGATTTTACAGACTATATCCGGTACCATTCTGTCATGTTGACACTCAAAAGTCCACGGCCTCGCTAATGTCGGGGGAAGTACAACCGTGGAAAGGACAATTTGCGATGCAAACTCTTATAGAGATGCATCATTTTTCGAGTCTATACGTCAAGTTGATACAGCTCCTCATCAGTCCACTTCACTACTCCAAACGAGTAGAGTAATATTAGAACGGCAAGCATATTTGTTGCAGCAACTTTGTTCTTCTCCGACAGTTTCGATGACCAGATCTGTCGATCCTTGCCGTGGAGAGAATTCTTCATTGCTGTTACCTCTTGTGAGTAGCGTTGTTCCACCCCGAGGTAAGTATACGTCTCTCCGGCATCCAGATGGTGAAGGATGCTTCCATCTACGAGCTGCACATCCTCTCCGTAGTCCCCGCATTGTCCTCTTTTGAAATGGAGCATTGCACATTTGTCTATCCCAAAATTTCATACCGATAGCATGCGTGTACTCTTCCACCACCCTCAAGGACTGATGGAGATCCTTCTCTCCAGAGGCATAAAGTTTAAGATCATCCATATAAAACAAATGGGTAACCTCGTGCCCCGATTTCCGGGGGTGTCACAGTTATACCCTCGAGTATTTCTGAGCGCAACGGATAATGGCAATAGTGAGATGCAGAAGAGAAGGGGACTGAGGGAATCGCCCTGAAATAAACCCCTTTTGGAAGTGACCACCTAGTTTGAACTCTGGTTCGAACATATGTTATGGTGAAGCGAGTTCGCCAGAGTGGTATCAGTTATTCAATGCATCTCACTATTTTGTCGGGTACTGCAAGGCATCTGAGCAAATGCAAGATGAGCTCATACGATATTGTATCAAATGCCTTACGATAATCGATTCAGGCCATATAGAGGTTGCGCTTATATTATATAGAGTCCTGGGTTACACATATATCAATAATCAGGTTCTCTTTACATCCAGCGACTCCTCTCTTCGATACTCTCTGCTCATATATCCGTTCGAACTCTCGGTCAACTGCGGTGACATAGTTACATACGAATTCAAGCGTGTTATCGGTCTGTAATGCTTAGGAACCGACAAATCTCCGCTTTTGAGGATGAGAACGGTCCACCCCTCGACAAACCAATTCAGAATCGACTGCTCTCCGTCCAGCCATGAGATGAAAACTTTGGCCAGATAGCGGTGGGTAGTTTTTTCCACCAATAAGTGTTCAGCCCATCCGGGGTTATCGGGTTCGACGCAGTTCATTGATCTCAGGCTGTCGAAGATCTAACGAAAGCTTCGAACTGCACTAGGACTGAAGTGTCTGAGTTGGGTGGCTGCGGGTGTTCATAGATATCCTTCCAGAAGGATTCCACCTGATCAGCGGTCGGCCGATTATCCACAACACGTGGAGGCTCTTGGAATAAGCGAGACGGTTTCTCGCGGAACCTAAGGTTCCTGGATACTTCTCGCTCGCTTCACTAGTGACTTCTTAGCAGTCACTAGCATTCGTATTATTATTATTATTATTAGCATTCGTATTATTATTANAAAAGGATTTGAAGCTCTATAACTTTTATTTATTATATGCAAGCGCTTTCGATAGCTGGTTCAGGTGAAAAATATCTCACCCCATGTAGATAGAAGATAGTGATGAAATTATTCCAGTATATTTTACGTGTTATATAATGAAGTTTACCTTTCATCCTTCATTTTGTTCATATTATTACCTTTCGATTAAGAAATATACATTAAAAAATTAAATACGTTCATTTCCTATAAAGACGTGGTCCACTTTATCCCAATCGGATAATTAGTATGAAAAGTGATTAATTTCGTATAGTTACATTACAGTCGTAATAATTCAACAAATAAATTTTTTTACTCTTCAAAACCGCTTTGAACTCGATTGTTTCAATGTTATCACACTCGTCCAATGAAAATGTGGCAATCAAACTGAAATTATCTGTAGAGGAGCTACTCCACAGAGGCGAATTACACAGTTGGCAGAACCATATTTAGGAAAGCTGTTATATGAGCCCGAAAACGGTATTCAAAGTCATATACACGTTCTTGGCTCGAATAGGTTTAATCAATTGCTTGATCATTTCTAATAAACCCATCTCGGGTGGCTCAAAGTACAAAGTTAGTCGGCGGAGCTGAATTAAATGGGATGATGAAGATGAACTTTCCACATTGATAACGAAAATCGTATTACGAGGAATTTTCCACGTGTTTATTTCGAATTCTTTCTTTTTGAGTTCGTAAAACCTCTAGTTATAAAATAAACCGGGGATTAATTGGTCCAACCAATTCGATCAATCAATGAGATCCTGGCATTCACAAATGACGCCAATATGCACTTATATATTAAATGGTGCGAGGAAATAATTTATTCAATGTCGAGTAGATACCGGGTGTTCCAATGATACTTACTTGTTCGGTATATCGTGAACGCTGATTCAGATAATATATATANATCTCTCTTTTTCCTTTAGTAAAACAACATATTGATTTCTAATGATCTTATAGACATTCCAAAGTTCTTCTTTTAGACCACCCTCGCAATGCCTAAAATTGTAATATGCATTATTACGCTCACGTCTTTTTTCTTTAAGTTCATCATCAAAGTAGGGTACATAATTACTTTTGAGATATATTGTTTTCTCAGGGACAATTACATTAACAATTGTTGACACATTATCAATTAATTCATGTAAAATATTATCGACATTAACTGAGTTATTGTTCCAGTTACAAGATATTAATTGCATATTTATATTATGATACTCTTGATCTGTAAATTTTCTAAAAGTAATTGATTTTTCAGGCAATCGAAAGTGTTCAGTGGATAAATTAATGGATATAATGCCATGCTCGGAGATGTTAGGTTCATTCACAACTGCTCTAACATTATCATAATTTGTAACAACATAATCAATTAAAGTTTTTGAATCACCACAACATCTCGTATAATCTTGAACAACTTGATCTAACCCATACATATTAAATAGTGTTTTTATTTTTTGCTCATAATATTCATTACTAAAAAAATTGAAATTAAAATCACCAATCAATAAACATCTTTTACCATCAGAAAAATGTTTTTCTATCACATCCTCCAGAGCATCAATAAAAACAGGCTTACTGGAACTTGGAGACCTATAAAGACCCCCAATGTTCCATATATTATTACCTATTTTGATTTTTATGAACAGACACCAATAAACCATGTCAGTTATATGAGTTTTACTTGACTTAACTTCAACATCTTCCCTTACAAAAATTAAAACTCCACCCGTATAACGACTTGTGCTATTACATCTAAACATCTGATACCTTTCAATATAAAGTTCAGCATCATCTATCTCTTCAGTGATACATGTTTCACTAAGAACAATTACATAAGGCTTATAACAAATAATGTTCAAAAATATATCAGCCTTGTGAGCTAAAAAACTACTAACATTTGAATATATAATATGTTGATCAAAACTAGGAGAACTGACATAACGATTCTGAATATTAGACTCTACTTGATTTTCAAATTAACAATTTTAGGGACAGAGTTCACATATTTTATAGTTTTAGAAGTATCACCATTTTCTACCATCTCTTTAAGTTTATCTTTAACATGCTTGTAATAATCCCTTTGAATCTTTGTTTGATCAAAAAACACCTTTAACATTACCTGGCACTTTATTCTTATTAAAAAAAACTTGCTTTGCATCATTTTCTGTATTAAATATCACTTTCACTAATCTTATTTTATTTGGATCAAATTTTCCTAATCTAAATACCTTAACGTTACGATCAAGCAGTTGAATATCTGAAAGTAAACGTTGTACTTTATCGGTTTCATCTAAAATGCTTTACTGCCCAAACGATGGTAAGAAGTTCTCTTTCTATTGTAGAGTACTTCGATTCTGCGCTACAAAGTGTTCTAGACGCATATGCTATTGGGAGATCTTTTCCAATGGGATCTTGCGATAAAATAGCACCAATTGCAAACGCACTGGCGTCAGTTGTGAGCAAAAATGGTTCCTCAAAATTAGGGTAAATAAGAATGGGGCTCGTTTAATATTCAGCTACAGATATCTGCAAACAAAAGATGAATATGATAATTTCAAGAAAAACTGTATTCAAAACTCATTCCAGTTCACTTCTTGACATCAATTAGGTTTATTTCCAAATTCATTTCTTACATTATGGAATGTTTCTAGGGAAAAAAATTAAAGGACGTCATACAGGTGATTTATACTTTCTATCTTTGCCTTTTCACCGGTTTGGATAATAGTCATCTAGCTATTTTCGAAAAACGTAACATAAAGTGAAAACTCATTTATGTCAAAGTAGTAGATAGGCAGACATGGTTTCTTATAATGGCCCAATATATTACCTGAGATAACACCTCTAGATATTTTTGAGAGGATATTGGTACATCTGAAGTGTATGATGTACAACTGCAGTTCATTTCAGAACTCGCGAATAGAGAAAGAAGTGCTTGCATTCAAATTACCACCATTTCATAATGTGAGAGATGAATTTGTGAATAGACTTCATTAATATCTTTTATTAGAATTAAGTGGAGCAAGTTTTGAATTTTAATTATTTTATTTATCATTTGTTTGCAGATTCGTGAAACGAATATAAAACTGCTAATTAATCAAAGTTAGAAGGGGGTGAACTTTAGACGTCTGCAATGTATATACAAAGAGGCTCATCGAAAACTTGACAAGGGAGTTTTGGGTAACAATATCATAGATATAGAAAAACACTTGAACACGTTGATTTAAGATTAGAGGAAGACCTTGAGCAGTGTCACCATAACCTTCGAGCAGCTGGGTCAACCACCCCTAGTTCTAAAGACAAAAGAAAAAATTTACTTACTTTTTATCTTTCAAAAAGTCCAACTTTGGCACTTGTTTCAGTTCAAATCGAATGTAGGCACTGGGACTTTTGTGGTTGTCATTGTATTCTAACTCTGCTTCTGCGAGAGCAGTTCTAAAAATATAAACCAAATTAAATAGTTTTTAATAAAGATGGAAGGATGAAACATATACCTTGAGGAAGGTGACCAATGGACAGGTTTAACATCCCTATAAACTAACTCTTTTTTATACAGTTTGTAAAACTGACGAAGCTGTGTTTTCACATAATCAACTGTATAGGTTTTGTATGAATTTTTCCAGTCTCCTAATACACCCCAGGATTGGAAAGTTTTCTTCTGAACTTCTATTGTTTTTTCAGCAAAAGTTTTAGCTGAAATATTAAAAATAAATATTCAAATTCATTACAGTAATTGAAAAAAATTAATGAAATCAACGAATCATTTACAATCTCATTGATATTCAAGTTGAAGTATTTGTCTCCCATATTTTCAGAATAATTTTTAAATACCGATACTTTTTCAACTTTCTAAAAAAGACTTCGTTCTCACAATTTGCTCTACAACTTGGAAACTAGTTAAAACTTACTTATTAATCGATAAGACTGCATTTGCAATATAAAAATGACAATTTACTCTGTGCAATTTTAATTTTTCTCAAAAAATACTAATTTACTCATCAATTTCTATTTTGTCCCCTTCAAAGTAGCCCTCCTCAGATATAATATACTTGTGCCAGAGTGGGTCAAAACAATGCTGTTTGGTATTAGATCACAAATGCTATGTTTTTGGGTTCTAGTTTCAAATAGTTGTCTCGTGAAAACTGAGGAGGAAGAAAATGAATCTCATTTAGAAGTTGACGTCATAGCTTAGCTTAGCTTTGCAAAGTACTGCCTTTACAAGCTTCGTTTATTATTGATATTGGTGATTTTAATCTTATGTTGATATCCTACATAACGTCTTTGAAAGAAAGATGTCCTTGCTTACTTATACACGACTATTAAATATTAATCAACTGAAAATCCTAATTTGCTTTGAAATTTCAAGTGTGAAGAAATGTACAAAACAGCCCCAAATGTAGTTCCATTATAAGTACCTTTCGATCGAACTTCAATGGGATTGCAGTTTATTGAGCTAGTAGTCGCTTTAAGTTCAATAGGTAGACCATGGCAATCCCAACCAGGTACATAATGCACCTTGTTTCCTTTGAGTATATGACATCTTAAAATGGCATCTTTCAGAATCTGTAACCATATTTCATGTCAATATTATATCACTTGTTAGTAGTGTAGGCTATTTGCCTTATTGATTGCGTGTCCCATATGTGGTTGGCCATTCGCATAAGGTGGACCATCGTGAAGAACAAATTCAGGTTCTGATAAATGACTTCGTTGCCAAGAATAGAGATTGTCAAATTCAGCTACCTGAAGGACATAAAGATTATCAATTATTCAGAATACGTTTACTGGAAGGAACACTTGCAGTATAAATATTTTCGTCTCTTTCCAGTAACTTTTTATTATCTAACCTCAATGGAAAATTTGATTTGGGTAAAAAAATTGTGTCACTATAAAACTTATTTTTTGATATAGCCTTAGTGCTAAAATAAATGTAGTTCGGTTTTTTAAACTGCCTAAAACTACTCAACATCTTTTCAAATGGAAAAAATTTTGAAAGCTTGAAAAGTAAGGTTATTAGTGATTTCCATTGGCAAAATCGGTACAAACATAATTCTTCGGTCCATAGTTTGATGGTAACACGATGTCATATTATTTGTAGTATTGTAGTTACTATTGAACACTAGTGCAAAAATAACGAGCGGCACGCGGCAGTTGAAACTTGGCTTAGATAGTTTCTATATTGTAGTTGGGAAATTTCCAACTGTCGAGAGAATCTGCACTCAGTTCATCTGCAATTTCGATATTTGTTATTATAATTACATTCACAAAATGGCTTCTTCTTTAGGGAAACTGTTATAGAACATTTGTATGTAGACTATTATATAAAAAATAGAACTGATTCGCAACTGTACCGTTCAAATTCGTAACATCTCTAGCAACAATCCGATATCAGAACAAAACAAACCTACTGAAAGATTAAGATTCATTCGTTGATTGTAGATTGACTCGTAGATTGTAGATTGGTTCCCTGACCCTTAATGTTATGAATATTACTGGAGTTTTTTCCAACACCAAATTGTTATTTTCAACACCTCGACACGTGTTTCGATCACCAAGTGATCATCTTCAAAGAGGAAGATTAAAACTCAATGTTATGTTATGTTAAAAAAAAATTGTTTAAAATTTGTTTTTCCGTTAACCAGCTGCCCTAGTTTTGAATACAAAAAAGTGTTCTGCCACGAACACAGGGATCTGATTCTTGCAGCAGTCAATTTCACACAGAGGAAAATATATTCAGAGAACACAAATATTGAAGAAAAAGAACGTGAGAAAATAGAAACATTCACTCACATACTTTTTAAATGTCCCATCAACGCTGTTCCGGATTCATGTTGAAAATAGAGCCCATGTCCCATCAACCATTTTAACCCTCTTAAGTAAACTTAACATGAAAATATTGCAACTAATCATCAAACATATTGATTATAACAATATTGAACTGTAAAATGCTTTCAACGAGAATTCCTGAAATAACTACTATTTCCAACCATACCACTGTCACACATAAAATCATATACAACCATACTCTTTGTTTGTATCATACGTCTACCCATTAAGAAATTTCAGCACAGAAAATATCTACAAGAAAAAGAAGATCAACCCAAATAACTAGCAAAACAAGAATGATTACAACGTGGTATATAACAAAGTCACGTTGTAACCCCATGATCGACTTGACTTAATACGCCTGAATCTCAGTGTAATTTGTTACTCTGAGGCCTACAGTTAGAAAAAGAGAGAGATATTGAAGGGAAGAAGAGCGGAATTTTGGTCTACTCCGCCGAAGGGAAGCAAAGACCATAAAAACCGAGAAGAAGAAGAGCGAAATTAACCTATTAACTTGTAAAGTTTTTTCACAATTTGAAATTTATTAATTTTTCAAATAGAAAAAAAACTGTTCTAGCTCCATAATGATTTTACGTAAATTTGGTGGCTTGATAGAGCCTCTTAAATCATGCAACTTCCAAGGGCTGCTTTTTTTTACTTCTCGTGAGGTAGATTTTCATTATAACTATATAAAGCTTATCTGTATGTATTGTATAGGTCTGATTTATCATTTCTTTTTCGCTTAAAAATATAATTTTTTTATCAGGTGTGTAAGTTCTCTACTGAACCAGTTAAGTCTGTGTCTGGCAGTGATAGTCTTGAAGATAAAACCAAAAAAATTAGTAAAGCGATGAGAGCATACCTACAAAGAGCTAACGAACATGATGAATTTATGAAGAAACAGAAAGAGGAATTTCAGATTGGAAAAAGGCATCTGGCTAATATGATGGGTGAAGATCCTGAGACTTTCACCCAAGAAGATATAGATGTGAGTGATGGCAATCAAGCAAATGAAAACAGAAAATGAATTGACTAGAGTACTTCCTCAGTTGGACCAGCCCGACTAAGGAAACTAATAAGCTCAAAATACAGTCAAACTCCCATTCTCTTAAAAAATGTTTGAACAATTATGATGTAAACTGTGGGCCTCCATCAGAAATGACAAATTTCAAAATAGCATGTCTGGCAAAATTACCTCAATTTCATCTATTAGTGGTGTCTTCATTGAGAGTTTCCATAGTTTAAAGATTATTGAACAAATCAGAATTTGCCAATCACAACTATTTAATTGGCAATCATTAAATATAAATAGTTGATAAAAAGCAAATTGTAATAATCAATAGTTGAAAAAAAAAATGTTTTGAATGAATCAAAGAGTAAATCCTTCTGAAGATTTGCTATGAATTTGGAAACATAAAACACATAGGTTTGCATCATCTTCAATTCTTCATTTTATTCACTAATAATTTTCTTAGTGAATTGTACTTAGGCATACACCTAGATCAACATCTTTGATTTAATATAGTTAATATTTATTGTTATGTATCGTTTTATCCTTTAGCAGTTAACTTTTATCAGTGCGTAATTCAATTGATAAAACTCCCCAGCAGAGCAATAATATATTTTTAGAATTTTTTTTTCTTTAAATTTTTATCATTTAAGAAATCACCAATACCAAAAAATTTGTAAAAACAAAAACTGACAACACATTTTTGATTAATAGGTGGTTCATAAAATAGACCACTGGCCACAAAATGATACATGAATTTGAAAGTATCCATTTATTCAAAAATAATATTTACAAATTTAGTGAAACTCAAAACTTAGGCATGGAAATTTTGTAAACAGTTTTTACACTTTTCCAATCATAAGGAGACTTTACAAATGGAACTGTGATACACTACAGTGTTTTTGAGCTTCTGAAAGTTTCAAGACACAGTAAAACTTACTGGAAATATTGAAGGGTTGTGACATCAATTTTTCATGAATCAGATATAATACCTAGACATAAATTTTATTCGAGAAGTTATTAGGACTGCAATAAAAAAACAATAATTTATCTGAGTATCAAGTTGAAAGTCTCAGGAATAACAGGGTGAAAAACAGGTAATAAATGCTACAATGAACATAGGTCTGTATCCAAATTTCAAAAAAAGTTGACGGCAGTCTAAGTTGAAAGACAACCTTTCTTCAACGAGTCAAACGTCCTACAAGGCTAAATGACAATGGATGCATATTTTCAAGAAACTTGGTACATCTACTCAATACATATTGGAAAACAATTTTGTGTGTGGAATGGTTGTACTACAGAAGGAGCCTCTTGATAGGAATGATTTTTAGCCAATCATTTTTTGAAAAATATTAACAGATAATTTTCATTTATAGATATGAAGTGTTAATTTTTAAGAATAAAAAAAATAGGTAATTCGGATGAAACTAATTGACTTTCAATTGGTGGGATTGTAATCTCTGGCATGAAATGAATCCACCAAAACAAGATACTGCTTTTTGACGTGGGTTTTGCTAACAGTATTTTATTCTGGTGTAAAAGTGTTAATGGATAACAGACTTTTGTTTGCTATAACTTCTGAAATATTTCAGAGTCACAGTCACCTGGTTTCGAAACAATGTGTTGATATTTATAGAGCAGACACCAATGATAGCTTAAATTATACAGGGTGCAACATAAGTGCATTAAAATATTCAAGTGACGTATTCCTGAGAAAATTTTAAGAAAAAAAGTCTATGAACTTGTGTCCGAAAATGCTTTGTTCCGGAAATACGGGGTGTTGAAATTGATTTTTTTGTTCCCTTTTTGAAAATAACTCTTGCAAAAAATAAGTTATTTGCACGAAATTCGGTACCCTGGGTTTTTTTGACGTGGAAATCATAATTTCGTATTAATTTTCATGTAACATCTAGAGGGCGCTGCGTACGCTGTCATTATTTATTTCAAATTGCTCTAACTTTTTTGACAGTAAACTTTTGGTACTTTTCTTGAAAAAACCTAATTCCCACACCTTTTCCAAGTAAAATAGATACACGTCCTCAACAACGCTGGTGATCGTTTTTGAGATATTTACAATTTTCTATATCGATGCATATTATTTTATAGCCAAATTTGATTTCAATAATTTTTGTCACATTTCACATTTATGCTGTAACTACTAAATTCTAATCTTTTCCTCAGAATGCTATTGAATATTTATTTCCATCTGGACTTTATGAGAAAAAGGCAAGACCTCATATGAAACCTCCAGAGGAAGTATTTCCTCAAAGAAAGGCTGCAGAATTTGATGAAACTGGAAGGCCACATCATTTCCTATTTTATACTGGAAAACCAAATTTTTATCAAATGTTATATGTAAGTATGATAGTATTGAGTTTATAACATATAAATAGTCTTAAAGCACCATTTAGTTGGAGTGGCCCACTCTAAAACAAGACGGTCTCTAAATGAGAAAATATACATATAGAATAGTGATATATGTATAGGATAGGTAATGCCTCTCTCCCTATTTACTTATATGAACCTAGACTTACTTCCCTCAAAGTCATTTGGAAATAATAAAAAAGTCTATTCAGATATTTATTCAACATACACAGTGTGTGTCACATCGAGCTTTGAGACGAAGAAGTGAAGTTATCAATAAATGTTTCATATGAAAGTTTTAGATGTCAATGCATTGGGGAATTTTTGAAATATTTTCCAATATACATATCCAAAAAAGCAAGCATAGAAAAGATAGGTTTATTTGAATAAAGTACCCTATATTTAGATTCCATCAGGAAAGTACTTTTGAAAAATAAGAGATTGTATGTGTATGTACGGAGCGGTTAGAAGTCACTCCAAAAATAACATAACAAAATGGATGTATTAACTGTCCCCATTTTCAATGAAAACTCTTTAGAAAAGTATGATTTTTATGAAGATATTTTTAAAATGTAGTGTTTTCAGTTTCTGATTCTGAATAAAACTAGTTGACTATGTGAACTCTTTCTTTGCTTCCTTTCTTTCTTGTACATAAAGGGCGTATTTGATAATATGCCCTTTATGTACTCCATGACACAAGCTGCAGGTTGATAGACCACAGGCTCAGAGCACGTGTAGCTAGAGGTTGTCCTCAGAGGGTTGTTATCCCCACTCTTATGGAAGTAATGGGCTGAACCTAAGCCCAATGAAATCAATCATAGTAGAATGATGACCAAAACAGGTTCCAGAACCTCTGAAACTTCGAGGTGAAGAGATGAATCTCTGGGGGGAGGTAAAATATCTGGGAGTTATACATAGGTGCAGGTCAGATGCACCTATGAAAAGATGTGGGGCTTAAACCAGACATGATGTATTGGCTTTACACCGTGGTGGTTAAAGCCATGATAACATAAGCATCTATGATGTGGTGACCAAAGATGAATCAAACGACCATTATTAACGAACTAAGCAGGTTGCAAAGACTTGCGTGTTTGGAAATAACAGGAGCAATGAAAACATCCCCTATAGCTGCATTGAAAACATTTCTAAATCTTCCTCCTTCACATCTAGTAATAATGGAAGAGGCAAAAGTGGGCCATTTCAGACTGGGAAACTCACTGAGTTATATGGGATCGGGTAAAACAGAATATGTGGAGGAACCAACTTTCAAGGTGTGGTGTGGAACACATGAATCGTAATAAAAAATTCTCTGAAATGAATGCAGTCAAGCTGCTAAAAATTAATTCCATGAAAATCAAAAGATAGATAGATAAGTAGATATTATTCTGATCATTTCTATATTAATTTCAATTTAAGAGCCACCACAGTTGTCAGTTGATTGGTCAAACCACCAACGCTGACAGGCTGAAACAGCTGTCTACTAGTAGACTATATATCTAAAACTTTTATACAAAAAGCTTCTAATAGAAGCTCGGTGTGACACCTAGTGTATAAAGAACAATTTGCATAACTCCCCATAAATTAGTGAAAAGTATGAAATGATTGATTGATTGATTGAAAATTTCAATTCAACAGTCAAAATTATGAAATATTATCAATAGACATGTCAATTTTTATTTGTTCTGAAATTGGTGTTTTTCAGAATGCAGTTCAATACATGAATGATATTGAAAAATTTGAGGATACCATGATTCGAAAAGGATTGACTCCAGACCCAAATCTCACCCTGTAAGTGATTTAGACTGCAGTAATAATGGTAGTATATAACTTCAATAAACGAGAAATATCAATACTTGTGAGAAGTAAGTTTGTCGACGGGAGTTGAAGGTTCGCATTTTAAATCATTCAAACGAGTGATGACCATGAGAATAAGTTATCAATGTAAACAAATTCAGTAGTTGATTTCAAATAAATCCAAATCAGTATTGATGAAGTCATTTGTTGGGAGGGTTTTTATTTGTGATGATTTGAATGACATCAAATTCACTGAATAAGTGAATAAATAAGTAAATTTCCTAGGAGCTATTCAGGTGAAAATCTCACTAGTCACCTACAAAAAATGTACAGTAAACTTAATTCAAGCTATTATTCAATCAAATAGTTGAAACATAGTTTCAATAGGTTTGGTTTGCTGAATGTTCATTTTGTGAATGCATACTGTCATCAGTTTGAACATCATTGCTTGGTGATGTAAGAGGGAATTTTTTAGAAACGTTTTTCAGAAACGAGTGTTATCATTGACGTTAAATCTGGGGTTTCAAGACCAATTTTTAAAAGCAAATGCTTGTTGACTACACCTGCAGTATATGTAATGAAATGTGTCACTTTTGTGCAGAAGAACCTTGATTCGTACATAACAAACTTGAGCATTCACAGTCAGGATACTTGCCGTACCACTGTTCTAAGAGTCCCTTCGTATTAGAGTGACCATTTCAAAAAATATCCATCATACAATGATATCAATTTTTAATATAGTCTTCCACTTTTTATAAATTCTGAAACAGGAAAGAAAGTAAGAAATTTAAAACTTATTATTATACAAATGTTACTTACCCCTACAGGAATAGGGAATATTTAGAGGAAACTAACAGCTGAATACTTATATTTTCGTCTGCTGTCAAGTTTTACTTGTTGTTATTGCTTCCGTTTCAGTGTTCTGATGGTGATGTTATTTTATTTTATATGTTGATGAATATTCACACCAAGGACAATTACCATATTTTTATTTTATTTATTTACTATGTGTTTATATTCTCAACCTACTAGATGTACTAACTGTACCAAATTGATTAATAACATTATTATTATTATTATTATAGAGAACTGTCTGGTTATCAATGGCTAGACAAAGGTGTTTTGGAAAAAAAACTGATGGAATCCTTAGGAGACAAAGACTACGAAAATTTTGTTAGTACCTTTGAACGATTGTGCCAGTTACCATATTCATATAAGGCCAAGGATTTTATTTTTGAATTCACGAAGCCACTCATGAATCAAATAAAGACTTATGACGCCCCAAAAGCACAATATGATTCAGATGGTCGAGCATATGTTACAACATATGGTAAGTGAACTTGTTTTAAAATAAAAAGCTGCGACAACTTGTGAGAATGATGAAATATTATTTTGTATGAAATCTACTCATTGCAGAGTGTTTGAGAAAAACTGCTAGAGGTGACGTTACTATTAGAATGCCAGGTACAGGTAAAATCACTATAAATGGACAGGATATGAGTTACTTCAGTGACGTGCAGTCAAGGGAACAGGTAAGTACTTTATTAAGTTTTTGAAACTCCAAAAAACGAATTTACATTTTCTGTAACTTCCTGATGTCGATTTATTGAGTTGTCAGGCAGAGATGAAGTTTTTCTGGTGATATTTCATATACTGTGACCCAGGATTTATGTTACAAGAGATGCAATGGACAGAAGATGCTTGAATTCCATTTTCTGATTGTGACACTGAGTTCTGCTTGATAAGAAATGAATTATAATCAATTTCTGAAAAAAGTCGCTCTTGACGGTGAAGTGAAAACCGTTTCTTTTTCTGATAACTTACCCTTTTTGTTCATGTTATGTAAAAAATGTTAGTACGAAAAGTATTGCTGCATGAGGAATTGGATCCCATATAAAATTTCTGGAAGATTCTTTTACTTTGTTAACCTGTAATTTCTTTAAATTGAACAAAATGAATTGTATGCACTCACAAATTGAGTTTACAAATCATTGTTTTACATATCACAATAAAAATTTCCTTCTCAAAATATCTGCCACCAATTTGGGTGATGTCTGAATTTTCTGAAACTGTTATGAATTTCATAGATGTGTATTTCCTGAACCGTGTTCCTTATTCTGTCATTTAGTAATTTTGATTATTTACTCATTTTTAGAAAATGCGTTACTAGCAAAATACAGATACAAAATTCAAATAGAGCAATTAAAATTTGATGAGAAGTTTTATTTGTTTATGGCCTTATATAAGGTGAGTTCATGAAATGTTTATTTTTGAAAAGGAAGATCATTCCTAACAGCTTAACATAATTGAGATGAATACACAGTGTTAACATAAACAATTACTGGAGTTTTATCCCAACACCAAACTGTAATTTTGGTTAAAACTCCAGTAATATTCATTACTACCCAAAGGTTCCAAACAGTGCATCACAAGTATATAAACAATGTAGAAAATAAATTTAATCGTTAATTTATTCATATATTTTTTTGTTTTGAAATATATATGCAAAATTAATAAGAAGTGTAGCTGATAACTTTGATGAATGTCTATCTGAATGTTATCCAAATCCACTATCATTTCAGGTCAAATCTAATCATTTCCATATACTATTCAATTTATTTTTGAATATCTTCATGCCATGAAGAATCAAGAGTTCCCCATATCGTAATACATTAGAAACATTTCCTTTTCAAATTGCACTTTATCTTAAATTGTATGATTCTGAAAAATACATGAGATATGCGTTTTGAATATTCATGCTGAATACGAGTAGTATCATGACAATAAATAATCCAACAAGTAGGATGGAAATCGGCAGCTGTGGCGACAGGTTACGTGGATGAAAGTATTAGCAATGAGAATAATATTTTATACATTATTGTAAATGCTATTGATGAATGTGTAACCTCATTGACTTCCGAAAATGTTAGCAGTATTAATTTTAATGGCATTATCTCCGATTTAAAAAACAAAGGTTTCATACATAATAATACAATTTCGAGCAGCCCAACTGTTCTTTTTACATTCATTAAAAAAGTTTAATATTTGAATAAAGTTTTTGAAACATTTGTTAGTAGTGGAGTTGTTAGTCAGTTGTGCATATTGTTGTGCTCCTGAAATCAATCAATTTTAAGTGGTTTCAAGTGACTCCAAATAAACTAGCTCTATATCAGTGTGTGTAAAAAAGAAAGGAGTATAAAATCCTGGCAAAAGCAATTATGTAAAACTATTGATGAATCTAGAAACAAATAAAATATAAAATTGCAAATAAGCACTGTAAAAATAGTTCAATCTCATTCATTTATTCGTACCAAAGTAAGAGAGAAAAGAAATGAGTACAGTCACACTGAAGAATATTGTCAAATTATTGAATGAAATAAAACAAGAAATATCGGACCTGAAGAAATACTTCAAAAGTGAGATCAAAATACTAAAACAAGAAAATAAACAACTGGAGGAAAAGGTTCTTTCACTGGAAAACCAACTGCAATATACAGAAAGAAAACTCGAGAAATACAACCTCGTTATATACGGAGTAGAAGAAGACAATGATGATTTGAGAGGAAAATTGAAGATAGTGAACCAGACCCTGCGGATAGTTTGTAATGAAACTAGTTTTAGGGACATTCAAAGAATTGGGAGAAAAAGTGACGGAAAAAAACACCGATATTAATTGAAGTTGTCAACTATCAACTGAAATTGTGTATATTACAGAATATCAAACATCATGTAAAGGAACTGAAAGAATTAGGAATTTCAATTTATCAAGACTATACCCAAAGTGATTACAAAAGAAGAAGGGTATTGATTGAATACCTGAAAATTGCTAGAGAAAGTAACTTGAAAGCTAAAATTGTTTATAAATGAGGAGGAATTCAGTTATGAAATATTAGTGCAACTTTCATTCTTTTCTTTATATTCCTTTCCCCTTTTTTCTCTTTTCTCTCAACCACTATACAAAGCAATGCTTTATGAGGCTAACTCTTTATTTATTTGTAATATCGACATTGGTTACTGTAGTTGTTTTTGGCAAATAAATATTATTTGATTTCATGTTTCAACGAATACTGACATTGTAAATTTAATTAATCAGTAATCAATACAACAGAATCAAGAAATAAAAATCCACCAAAACCACCAAACAAACCCTAAAAAAATCGATCAAGAAATTCCGTACGATACACAGACGATGAGATAGGGGGGCCTTATTTAAAACTGATCCTATCGATGCGCCTGTAGAACAATGAATAAGAGACTCACGTTCCCTGGGGCTTCAGCACGTAGTCTTTCTGCACGGTCTTGACTGAGGAATCATCGTATCTCAACCAACAGTTATAGCCGACGTAAAAGGCATTGGTTATGTAGTGTCCCATGTTGGCCATGTTGGTCGTTGTACTCAACGGCGAATAGGTTGTAATACTTCTCTTCTGGATAATGTGTTTTCGATGAAACCGGTATCGAATCAATTTTTAAGTCGAATTCATACTCCAAAGCCTTGATAATCTCATTGCAACCGCCGTGGCTATAATCGAAAAACTTCAAATGCAATGCAATTGATACTCCTGAACTGCACATAACAGATAATATAATATATAAAAGACATATTAATGAAACTAACACTCAATCATTTATTGCTTTCTTAAAGAGGGAGCAGTGGAAGGATATGGAAAAGATTCCAGGCTTCAATAACAAATTCTATACATTCTATGATACTTTCATGTTTCATTTCAACAATTCATTTCCTTACAAAAAAATTAAACCCAAACAAAAAGAAACCATGGTATACCAAAGAACTACGCGAATTACACAATACTGTCTGTGAAATGTCTAGATTAGCTAAATCCACTGATAATGGTACTATCAAAAATAGATATATGAGTTTGAAAAACATATATAAAAATCTAAAAATTAGTACAAAACATACCTACAATAATAACAGGTTAGCTAACAGCACAAATATAATGAAGGAAAGCTGGAAAATAGTTGGAGAAATGAAGCAGGGAAGTAGGAAAGAAAGTATGACCGTTTCAAAGATGTCTACAAAATTATCTCAGTTATTATTAAAAAACTGATTATTTTTGAAAAATTTGCCACCCTGTATCTCAAAAGTTAAGGCGTTTAGGACATACGTCCATAGGAAGTTTTTTTCTTAAAATGGGTCTAAGAATTACCCCCTTAAATATTAAAATGTGTTTAAGGAATACCCTGTATAATTACTTTAATATTAAGATTTTAAACTAGTATGTAAATCCATATTTGACTAGTCTGATAAGCATTTTATATGTTCAACTGCAAAGATCTGTAGATTGCTTTAATGATGAATAAAGATACTACTACTACTACTACTACTGCAATATGAGGATAATGGGGGGTTCGCAGAGTGGTACTTCCTCCCAGGTTATGTCTTTCTGAAACAAGTAACAGATTTGTGAATCTACTAATGGGTAATATTTGCTTCAATGCAAGGTATAAAAGTCTGTTGTTACTAAAATTTCACTTGTGATATATGAAAGCTCCATTTATAGTTTCAGAATTTCTTTTATTTGGTAATTGGCTTTTTCACTTTTTTTTTCAAATCAAAAGAAAAATTTGTTGCATACTGATCCCCTATGACTGATATTTTCTTGGTGTTATTAGGTATTTCCAAGTCACTTTCAATAATTGAATTCGCGAAAGAGACTCTTGAAATATCCTCAAATAAGTTGAGTTAGTGTGAGTTGGCATTTCCTCCCGGTCATGAGTATTAATGAATGCTGTTATTTGCAATCATTTCTGTATGTGCTCGTCTGTGTACCACAATCTTTATGAATTAATGCATCTACATTATTTTCCAGCAAAGAACCTTCTAGGTATTTCAATACACTGGTAGTTTGAACTGTAGCGTTTACTTTGCGAAGTTTCTCTTCTTCAACTGTTTGAACTGTATGTGTTTTTACAGTGTGTAATGTCTTATTTTCTATATCATTTAGTCGGTTTTTGAAGTTCAATGATGCACTCCTGCTGTGTTTTAATTAGATCATTCTGTTCGGCTTCTCTCTGCACAGCATCATCAGCAAAAGCTTATTTTTTTCATTGAGTATTTCAATGTGACTGTTCAACATTACTGTATTTTCTGTTAAATCATTCACAGTTTGCTCCAATAAACTTTTTTCTTCATTGTAACTAGTTTCCGGATCACTTTCTCCGCAGTCGCCACAAAGAATTGAGAAATCTTTCAGAAAATAGTAGTCATTTTTCCTTTTCATCACGCAGTTCTTTGGAATACTTTAAAACATGTTTTGCGAATATAGTAGTTGGATGGGAAACTTTATAAAATATATGAATTTCTTCAAAATTAAGTTTCCTTTTTGATGGTGAAGTAGCCACTTCCAAAAACAGTAAATATTTCTCTGGAATGGTGTCTACAAATTAATTTATCTATCACGGATTCCCAGATAACTTTTTGTGAAGGCAGGTTCTTTTCTTGAAAAAACTGGGTCAGCACATTAAATGACTCCGAATGATTGCACCATGGAGTTGATGGTCAAACATTAAGTAAATACTTTTTTGTTTAAGTGACAGTAATTATTTCACGTTTCTCTTTTTTTATCATGCTTCTCTTTTTTTATCACGCTTTTATTAGCTTCACTTGTATGTATGTTTGTTTGTAACTCTCCTTTTCATTTCATATTTATTCCCGTTTGAATGCTCGGGATCTGTATTTGACAGAATTATCGACATTATTCCTTGATCTATTCGCGAGCAGATGGCGATGTACGTAATCCTTGATATAATTCGAACTTACATGTATTTCTTCATTTGAAAAAGTATTTTTTTTCATTAACACGCGCGCCTGCTGCCTTATTTGTAACCCTCCTTTGCGCGCCTTTTGCCTTCCTGCTGTAACCTGGGCTTGGTCGCTGATTTTCAGGCTCCCTCTCCGGAATTGGAAAATATCAATGGTCATTTTTCTAAACAATATACGGCTGATTGATCCCAAAGTCTAGATAAAATAAATATAGTTTGAAAAGACTAAAAAACACACTTTTATAGCATACGAAACTTAAAAATGATAAAATAAATATAGTTTAAAAAAACTAAAAAACACGCTTTTAAAGAACTTCGAACTAAAAAGTTCAAAATAATTTTTTTAAAAAAAGCTTAAACCAATAACGAACAAAAAATAATAGTATTATTGTGGATAAAGAGTGGGCGCTTTGTGCCATATTTTTTGTATATCAAGCGCCCGTCGCTTTTTTCACAATAATACTAGTATTTTTCGTTAGTTATTCTTTTAAGCTAATTTAAAAAATATTTTTAACTTTTTAGTTCGATGTTCTTTAAAAGAATGTTTTTTAGTTTTTTAAACTATATTCATTATCCTAGACTGTTGAAGATGCATAGTGAAGATCATTAATCTCTCTATACATAATATATATGTAAACACCATTATTCAGCCCAGATCCCTTGATAATTCTGATTAAATATTGCCTGTAATCAAATAAATTTTATTTTTCATTCATTCTTCATTGCATAATGAGTACATAACACAAAAATTCTATATCAGTGTATCATACGAGCATGAATTAACGTGAGCTCTAATAGTTTTCAATAGTTTATTGTGACGGACATACTCGTAAACTGGTGCAAATAAGAATTTATTCTGGAGACGGTAATTTTCGATTCTGATGATAGTTTAAACTTAGTATAAAATAGTTGGTGATCCAACTATTTTATACTACATATTATTATATACTACAAGTGATTATATTTAATTAACGCTTTCTTTTTGTTTTTATTTCCAATATCAACCTTCTTAACGCAGACACTCATATCATTCATCATTCAATTCTCAATCCAGTACTGATTAATTTTTTGAGTTCCTGAGTAATTAGTAAACTGCTAATTAATTATTTAGGAATCGCTGGTCCAATTTTCAAAAATAAATAATAATAAGAGTATTGAAAGATTTATCAAACAATGTATCACAGTACCCCCCCATTCATATTCGAAAAAAAAAATGGTGAATGATGTCACAGCTGTGAATGATGTCACAATATTTTTAATCAAAAAGAAATAAAAATTTCATTATATATCACTCATTGTCTTTCAATTATTTTCCAACCCAAAAGGAAGAGTTGAGATTCCCGTTCCCTACTGGTATATGTATAGTTGTCAGCACTTGCCAAATTTAATCAAGACAAAATTATTTACCCGATTGTACTTCCTGATAAAAGTTGGTAGAAGATAGTTACACTCTCTCTTTATCGTTCGCGCATCTCAAAAGCACATCTAGATTTGCTAAGCTGTAGTTACTCTTGATATTTCGTAATTTCATCAGTCATCTAGGTCTTGATGAATACTTTTTTTTAGTATTATCATCATTACTCCTGTGTGGCTTGAATTTTGCCATTTACACATTCATTTAAGAAGATGAAAATGATCATAGACAAATATTAAAAATAGAGAATGATCACAATTTGAAATAATTGAACATGAATGCTTCACAGTTATAACATACATACCATACATATTTTCCACAGAACAACCAGTATATAATATAATTTTTTATTTTTTTACTTTGTATATACACACATATATATATATATACACTTTTATGTTCGGGTCGGATCTTTCCTGCACTGATAAGAGGTAATACTTCGAAACCGGTCTGTAGATAGGTAACCTACGGGAATAATTTCAGCATGGTCCTGCTGCTAGATGAATGAGAAACATATGCGAGACATTCAAACGAATATATTATATATTTCTGTTGTACCATTAACATAACCTTTCAGCTGCTGGGTGTTCAAATCATGATACATTTCAGTACATCAAAAGGTAAGGTTAAAAATGGTGAATAATTTGCATTTGACTGGGTCAAATTTTTCTAAAAAAAAAGGTACTTCCTAATTTACCATAGTGGTCTGGAAAAAATTGTGGGGGTCTTCATCTCGATAATGGTGTAGTTCATTGTTATTAGCGTCTTCTAAAATTCAACATGAACTCAAAATGTTCATAGAAACTAGATTTTCATCAATCTCGATTTTTAGTAACCACTTCATTGTCAATTAAAGCAATACTGACCACTGAATAGTCGCAAATTACGGTGTATGTCCATTTAAGTTTGGCTCCACAACTATTGATAAAAATGCAAAAAATTGTATTTGAAAGAATAGCTGGAGCAGATGGTAATATAGTCCATATCCGATTGCCAATCACGCCTCTACCTTTTTTGCAAAGATTTTCATGATAACAAAAATGCTTAATGTTTTTCATTGTATCACTGCTTTGATGATGAAAAAGATACTTCAATTTTTATACCTAATTTGAATGGCGAAAACTTTTGATTAACCAAAAAAGGTAATACCCCATTTTATAGTAGGTATACATACCATGGAGTTCATTATAAAATGAAGATTCATTGAAATAATTATCCTTATTGGCCTTTCCAGCGTAAAATATTTTCATTCAACGACCATTTACCTTTAATTTTTTCAGCGATTTCTTATATTCTCCCCTAATTTAGTGTCTCATTCCATGTGCTTTCCTCATTCTTTCGCCGCCTATGGTGTAAGCATTATTAACAATCTCAAAACCGCAAACTATCTTCCCATAAAACCAGTGCTGTCTTTGTAGGTATCCAGCGTCGCGTTACTGCTCTGAAATGAAAAGAACCCCCCCACGCCAGATTCTTTAAGAGAACGTCTTCTAAACGGCAATTTAGTAATTTGTGTTGTTCTCAGTTATTCGCAGTTAGTTTGGTTTTCGTTGGCTTACCACGACCTACGCGAACCGATTTTTCGGCGGTGATTTGCCCCCCCATGCCCCCACCCGAATCGAAGTCGAATTATCGCTAAGCTGCACCGATTTCCGTAATGAATGAAAATGGTACCTTTTGTTGGGATGCGTATTTGCGTCGATTACGTTCGATTACATGGTTCTATTGTGCCTAAATAATTAGGTGTGTTGTTACAATGGTGAGAATTATTCAGTGTTCGCAATTTGGAATTTTTTCGTGGGAAGATTCAGTCGGCAGATTTCTATAGTGGGTAAGTACGGGTTCTATTATTATCATTGTTGATTTTTTTTACATCTGACGTTCCTTCGCGGCTACTAGGACATTGAAACATTTCCAGTAGTGCAAAGATGACATTAGTCCTTCGGAGATTCTTGTGTTTGAACTAATTGTCAAGGTATTTGAAAAATTTACTGAGAAAATGAATCGTATTCCACCTATCAATATCAATATTATTTTCATCGTCGCATGTTGTTCACCACGAAATATATAAGGGAATTATATATTTAATAAGTGAGTAATAAGTCTTCCTTCCAGGAAAGGCACATTAATTCAATTTCCAAATGGGACAGTTTCAAAAATTATTTTTTGTCCTCGCGGATTAACCCTCTGAAAGATAAATATGGTCCCTTCAGAATTTCAAATGGTAAGGGCATACCATTTTGAATTATTTCAATTGTCGTTCGAAGGGTTAAAATGGTCAAGTTTTCCAACAAAAATGTTTGTAAGGGTTTCTGTTTAATACGCTTTTATTAGCTTCACTGGTATGTTTGTTTGTAACCGACTCCTTTGGACTCGATTTTGACTAACTTTAAACGGACAGATAAGTCTGAAATTAGAATAAATCTATAAAAAAAAATTAATTGTGTTGTAAAAAAGCGTGGGGTGCTAAATATCCATTGTTATGAATACTTGTTTAGAGCTGTTTGTCATATTGGAGCCATAATAAAAATATAATTGCTTACAACAAAATTAATTTTATTGTAAATAGATTTATTCTGATTTTAGACTTATTAAAAGCCATTATTTACATCAAGCCATAGGACTTATTATCGATATTGAACACAATCTTAAGTTAGTTTCGAATGATTTTTTATTTTTTAGTTTGTTTTGCTATCAAAGCGTGTTTTTTAGTTTATAAACTATTATTTATTAGTAAAAATGGAGATAAGTTTGCACTGTTCCAAATGGGTAACAAGATAAAACACATTTCGTTTTAGATCACTGAAATCAGCAGGTAAACTAGATCAAGCAATATCAGCAGGTAGCAGGTTTTGTTTTATAAACAACTGATTTAAAATTTTACCAAAGAAGAAACCCAATGGAATTGAATCTGGTGATCTCAGAACTAATCGATTGCTCTCAAAAATAATAAAATAGTGTGGGTAGGTAGCTAAATAGGTAGACTCAGTGAATCGGCTTATTCGACACTCACTGAACCAAACATATTCATCTTCCTGGCCCGTTGGACATCGTAGGTATCCCTGCTGAAATCTAACAATCGTTGGTAACTTCGAAGGATTTATAAAAGCCTTGGAATGAGTCAATTCTGGTAAATTTTTCCAGATTGCTGATTAGAAAATATTAAAATTGGGTACCATTGTACAAACAATCTTAAAATGATATGCCACTTGACTCGCTTCCTATTGACGTGTTATTCCGATTTTTCATCAAAATTGACACCTTCTATACATTCTGTGAAGAACCACAATATTTTCCTTCAACAAAGAATATTGCACTTTTCCAATGAAAGTTTGTTACCAAAAAATTCTGGTGATTTACAATGAAACACAGTTACATGATTATAGTATCAGATATTTTCAACATCTATGCATATTCCTTCAGTTTAGTTGTGAGCATTTCATAATGTCATAAATATTGGTTGGCTTTTCAAAAATTTGGTTATTGTCAGAAGTAACTAGGTACTTTATAGGAATGTAGGCTCTCACGGCGTCAATGTTTTGGTTGGTTTACGGTATCAACAGTTGATCAAGGAGAGTACTTCAACCACGCCATTGAAGATTACTGCCGCAGTTTCAATTGAAACGTTTGATTGTAACTAAAGAAGATCACGGCAAAACCCAGAAACCAACCAAAAACATCTCTTAAAAATATGTTCGAAACTGTACACCTTTTGACAAAAATAATTTCGAGAGAACCTTTGGATGAATTTCAGGTATTCCCAATTAAATAAATTGATGGATGTAGCTGTTACTACGTGGTAGGAAATCATAATGACCAAAAGAGAAATGAAACTTTCTATGTTTTTGACCACTTTTATGGTAAAAAACATAGAAAGTTTCATTTCTCTTTTCTCCATTATTCCCAATTTAAATCTTACTCATAGTTCAGACTGTCATCGCAGAAATCCAATTTTCTTACCAATTATCAACCATAGTATAGATTTCCATTCATATCAAATTTGATTAGAAGGTGAAACCAATGTTCGATATGAACTTCCAAGCCTTTTGTTTTTAAATGGAACAAATAACCCGATTCAATAGTCTTTCGTCGGCTCATCGCTTTGGTATTCAGAATGTTTTCAAATAAAACCACTCCCTCGTTGCATTCAATTATTAAGTGATACATTCATGTCACATTTTTTTTATTTGAAAAACTAAGTTCATATCTGAAGGTTTTAAATGAGAATAATCACGATCCCTTATTCTTCTAAAAATTCATGATGCGAATAACTTCTTTAAAAGTATTTTGCGAAATACTCAAAAATTGGGAATTCTTTTTATAAAACTAATCAATATAGTTTATTATATGAGTTTCACTATAAAAGGGTTTTACAAAAACCGGTTTGATTAGTTTTTTAATATGGATTTTCATCAAGTATCGCCAGTTCTATTCAATAATTGTTTTTATAGTATACCCTATTATCTCCAAAGATCGTATTAGTTCAGTACTACTACGACCTGAAAATTCATAGATCTTCATATTCACTATTTCACGGGTTTCGGAATTGGATATTGTAGAATTAGTTCACTACGACCACTACCATTACCAAAACATAATGATCTTTTCTACTAGAAGAACAATGGCAAAACCCGACCTTTCTTTTCCCTGCCAGAAGTTATTTCATTCTTCAGTTAAAGCTGATCAACATTCTTGATGAATGAAGTTTTACTTCGATCCGTCTGTACTGAGGGCTTAATTTTGAGACCTCTTTCACGGTTGGTTGCGCATCGTTCTTGTTGATCGAGTTGGTGGTGAAATGAGAAGTTTTGAGGTGCAGGTAAACAAAAACCGCTTAGAGATGAAGCTATTCAGGACTTTGGATATTGAAGACTATATGCGATGCTTCATTCCCAATATTTTTTCAACATAATGATTCAGACTAGACGATAGGAACACCATACATTCCCAGAATAACTATAGGTTTTTTGAAAATATTATACAAGTGACTGACACTTGATGAAAATTTATTATAACGTATTCAAAAAAGCACTTTAATGTGAGATTTCCACGTATTTCGCTATATAATAGCATCTTCGGGCGTCACAATACTCTTTTAGGATTTAAGTATTTTTTTAGTCGCAGACCCAGGACAGAGATATCAACCTGCCTAGAAACCTATGCGACTGTATTTCAAGTGGAAATTTACACTATTGAATCGTGTGCGGAGAGATTAGAAGAATCCAACCCCATACATAAGTCAATACAAATATTCTCGGACAGTCAAGTGGCGTTGGAAGCTCTTGATTCCTACCAAGCAACGTCTAAATTGATAGCAAATTGCCAAAAACGACTCTACTCGATAGGAAGACCTAAAAGATTGTCTCTGGTCTGGATTCCTGGCCACACTGGCCTGGTCGGCAATGAGACTGCTGACTCCCTTGCAAAGGAGGGTGCTGTAAGCAGCTTCATTGGACCAGAAGCTGTCATTGGCATCGCTTTAGGCTTTGCCAAACAAATATTGAACACCTGGATGGCAAAAAGATTTATGGACTTCTGGCAGAATCTCCAGGATTGGCTGGCTCCAAGGCGTTTATTCACCTTTCGAAGCTTGATACCAAAAAGTTGGACTACAGTAGAGATGAACTACGATCTCTAACAGGCCTTCTTACAGGTCACTGTCATTTGAATCATCATATGCAGAGACTCGGACTGTCGGAAGACAGCAGGGCCGTACTCTTATCATCTGACCTGAAAGACCACTCACCATACAAACTAATCGGCTTCGTTAAGAAGCTGGGTTTATTTGATCGAGTGTGAGTAGGTGTGAGCCACAATGGACCCTTGTGGGTTGCGGTGGAGGGTCGAATAGACCCACTCACTTTGGACCTAACCTAAGCTAGTATTTGTGACTCCTGATAATGTTCATTCCTTCTCAGGTCCTTGTTGAAAATCTTTACTTGATAGTTTCGCGTGTTCTCATAGAAGAGATCCTGTCTGCATAACTGTGTTGAGTTTTGTGTCTGCCAGTCTGCAAATCGAAGGAATACGAGTCGTTTTTTGTTGGGTCAGTCGATTCGTGGACTTTCTGCGATGAAAATAGATTTTTACACTTCGACCAATCTTCAAGCTGGTCTTTGTTGTCGACTCTCCAACGGTCATTAAGATTGAAGGAAAACATTTATCTTCGAAGTAGCAGTAATTGTTGGGAACAGGAAGAAGTTATTAGATGATAATTCATGAATACGGGCACTGAAACATTAATTTAGTGTTTGTCTTCTTCAAATATTCAATGTTTGACGTGCTATGTGAGAGATGACATTATCGTCTTGAATAATGTTTCGTGTTGTTCGACTGTTTTTTTCTAATTTCATCGATGATTTGCGGTAAGCAAAATTTTGTATATTTATCGTAATTCATTGTGATTCTTAATTAGTGGTCGAATTTAGGTAAAATCACAGTAGAAAGCGATTCGACGCTGTAGGTTTTTTCAGATTGACAGATTCAAATTGTGTGCCGTAATTTTTTGAGTTGTTCATACTAATACACCTCTTTCAAAGTTGTACATCAAACTTGGCTGAATTTCTTGATTATGTAAGTGAATCAATCGATATAAAACCATTTTGAGTTCCTGATGTATGGGCGCCGACAATAAAGCTCAATTTATTTGCGGAACAAGGATTTTTTTGGGTGATTTCACAGAATTTTCGGTGAAATAGGCTTTGTTTTTTTGAGGTTCTCAATAGGTCTGGTCGAGACTCTTTTATTCTCGATAGAAAATACTATTTTGTTGATTGTTGTAAGTAGGTAAATTGTGAGAATTTTTGCGTCAGGTAATTATCAATGTGCCTA